ACAGTTACATTCATTGTTGGGATCTTGTACCTCTACATGACAAGTCTTGGTTCTCATTTTTTTCCCCTTACCCCTGCCCTCCCTTCACCCCCTCCTCCCCTCCCCATCTACACGTTTGCGCACGAATTCTTCGACTTCATGCTCCCTTAGCCCTCAGAATAACGGATTTTCTTCAGTCCCGTTTCAGGGAGGAAAAGGTTTCGGTGTACGTTTCTGTCTGTGCACAGTGGTTTCTATAGATCTGGTTCTCTTGTGATAATTTAATCCACGCATACACTCAGATCGCATCTGTCTCATTGATTGCCCTGCCCCGCCGTCCCCTGCTGCCACGACCACTCCAGTGGAATCTGCGTGACAATGCCGACCACCTGGCAGAAACCGGATCTGAGGTATCGTCCCCTCGGGGTCAAGCCTCCTGGAGGTCCTTGGCATGCACGGCATTAAAAGTCAGGCAAAGAAGGAATCGTTGGTTTCTTCGCCTGCAGCTTGGGGACAATGGGTTCTGTTACAATTTTGATTTATTTTCTATTGATCTCTGTGTGTTTGTGTTTTTTGAAAATGCCTAGTGGTTTTCAAGAAGGAGAAGGATTAGATGTACCCAAAGATATGGAGGATAAGAATGTCACTGTTTGGACACAGCCTTCTCAGTCAAATAATAACTGAACAGAAGGTGCATTTGAGGGGAATATTTCTTTTAAGGAAATAGTTCTCAGGAAAATAGCATGTAATGTTACAGACGTTACTGATACTTCATCAGAATTACCATATATTGTCAAACATCTGAGAAACAATGAATCATTGGGGAAAAAATGGCCACTGGCATATTATCAGCTAAGATGGAAAGAAAGCTTAAACTCCTGCTAACTTTTCACAATGTATTCTATAATGATGTATTTGGCAGGCGCCAGCTCAGCAAGCGGAAATAGATGCCTAGAGAGATCAGCTCGTTGCCCCTGACTTGCTATAAGGACATAGAAATCTGGATAAAGGAAGCTCTTTGAAAAATAAATTTTGCAGCAGCATTTGCAAACTTCACCTCGGTGTTGAGTGCTTTTGTCTGACTGTCATCCCCGAACCTGCTCCCACCTTTCAGAGAACCTGCATCTCCTTGTGAAATCCCGTGTTTGCTGCCCTACGGTCGGTAGCACCCTGCCATCCCCCGCTCCCCTCTCCCCCATGGCCGCCTTCTTGTCTTTATTTTTGCTAGGGTGGATGGAACTCAGGCCCTTGTGCTTGCTAGGCAGGCTGCAGCACCACCGAACCAACCTCCTGCCCATTGTTTTTGAGAAAGCATCTCACTATGTAGCCCAGGGTGTCCTCCAACTACCAGTGATCCTCCCGCCTCAGGCTCCAGAGTGCTGAGATACCAGTCATGCGCTACCACGTCCGGCTTCATTTTTTTTTTTTCCAGATTCTGCATATTAGGGCAAACATGCAGGATTTGTCTTTGCAGAAAACTCTGAAGCACAGAGTCTCAATGACTGGATCAAGGTGACACTGCTGGGCAGAGTCCCTAGTCAATGTTTTTAGGTGCAGAAAGACATGGAGTCACCTCCTGGGGCATCTGGGGCCCGGCTCTGCCTGGGTGGTCAGTGGAGCCATCCCCATCCTCCATGAGAGAGGAGGTGTGGGACGGGTCGGAGACAGCCAGGGAAGGGCTGGGTGAGTGTGTGCGGGTGTGTGAGCGAGCGCAGGAGGAGGGCAACAGGCAGGTGACCACTGAGATGGAGGTCAAGCCCTGGGCTGCTCGCCTTGTCTGCAGAAGGGTCTCAAGGCCAGGGCCAGGCCCCAGGGCAGGAAAACAGACCGCAAGAATGTGCAGGAGGTGATGCACACCTGTCACCCAGCATCTGGGAGGCTGAGGCAGGAGGATCACCATGAGTTCAAGGCCTCACAGTGAGCTTGAGGCCAGCCTGAACTACACAATGTGACCCTGTCTTAAAAAAAAAAAATTAGGGGCAGGGGATTTAACTCAGTGGTGCCGCTGTCTGCCTCACAAGCTCAAGGTCCCCACTTTGATCCCCGGTACTGAAAAAAAAAAATCTCAGGACAAATCTTACATTTCAGAGCAGCCAAAGTTACTGAAGCATTTGTTGCTATGAGGGGACAGTGTTGTGGCAGAGCATGTTTGGTGGCTGGAAAGGGGACACCAGAGGCACCAGGTCCTGACCCCTGGTCCCTGAATGTGTCACAGTACACAGTAAAAAAAGAATGTGAGCTCAGATGGAATTAGGGTTGTTCATCACCAGCCTTAAAATAGGCTGATTACCCTGGTTCCCGGGTGGGACCTGGTCAGCGCGTGACGTGGAGAACAGGTTGGAGGCAGGGGTCGCAGGCACCCAACAGCCCTTGCCAGTTCCGATGTAAACTCAGGAAACAGCCCAAGGCTCAGGGTGTGTAAGATCTAAAGTCTCACTTCCACTCCGCGGAGCATGAACAGCCGAAAGGGCCTCCACGATGCTAAGTCCTACAGCCCAAGGAGGGCTCCAGATGAAAGACCCAGGGCCTTACTTTCGGGAGCCTTGAACACCCCAAAAGGCCTCCAAGATGTTGGGACCTAACTCAGTGGGGCTCCGGGAAGCTGGACGACGGAGGAATGAGAGTCACCCAGGAAGGAGCACACCAGGCTGGATGGTAAACAGACCTTTATAGTCTGGCCAGATGGCACTCCCGGAGCCAGGTAGCTCAGAGAGACTGCTCAGGGGCTGAGTTTGTTTTATAGGGTTTTTCTAAAAAGTTTCAAACATAGGTCAGGGCATTCGCAGAACTACCAGAGGACAACATTCCAAACACACTGCTTATCTCATGCAGGAAATGTTCTATGGTCACCTTTTGTCCTACCACTTGTCCCTGGTCAGGCTGTTAACCAAGTTAGCACTTAGCATATGAAGACGCACAGTCTCTGGCCTATTAGCATGGAGTCACTTTAGCTCATTCAGGTCCCACAAGGGGGCTGAACAAGAACAGCATTATTCAACTCCATTCAGCTGGGTTGGGAGCTGCACACCTGTAATACCAGCACTCTGGAAGGCTGAGGCAGGAGGATTGCAAGTTCAAGTCCAGTCTGGGCAACTTAGCGATTTAGCAAGATCCTGTCTTAAAAAACCAAAGCAAAACCGAACCAAATGGCACTGGCTGCTGGCCGCAGGGGGCGGTACAATGCAGGAGGCCACTACCGTTAGACAGAAATCCTGTAGTATCCTCCAAGGGTAAACGGAGACCAGTGAGGCATCCCCTGTGGAAGTGGCACCACCAGCCCCAGCCCAGGGAGCTCGAGAACGCTCTTCTGTGCTCTGGAGTCTTGGGGGCCTGGCCTGGGCTGTGAAAAGCGGTGGAGGACAGCGCTGTTTCTGTGTCTGTTGTCGCTACCTGCCTATCCTCTGTCAATCATATCCGTATGTCTGTCCGTCCGTCTATTTGTCATCTCTCTACCCGGCTCATTTGTCGTCTGTCACCTACTGCTTCTCTCCCTCTCTCTGTCTCTCAGACCAAAGATGTTTCCAAAGACAGCAGGGTAGCTGGGCGAGGTGGCATAGGCCTACAATCCCAGCACTCGGGAATTGCTGTGAGTTCGAGGCCAGCCTGGGCTACACAGTGAGTTCCAGGTCAGCCTCGACTACACAGTGAGACCCTGTCTCAAACAAAACAAAACAAAACCCAAACAAACAAATGCAGCAGGGTTTTTGTCTTGGTCCCTGGGGCTGGCGTGTCCTGAACCAAAGTGCTTCCTTTCTCTTGAGGGTTCAGTGTGCTCGGGCCTGGGTGAGGGCTCCACCTCGGGTTGCAGCCCTGCCTGAGTGGATGAAAGCAGGTCAGCTGTGTTGCGTATCCCTCTGTGCTTGCAGTTGGGGATCGAACGAGGGCCTCTGCACTGAGCCACATCCCAAGCCCTTTTGTTACTTTTTCTTTTGTGACAGGCCTTGCTAAGGTGGCTGGGCTGGGCTGGAACTTCTGAATCCTCCTGCCTCAGCCTCCTAGAGCCCCGGGCTTACAGCCTGGCTCGTCTCACTCTGTATATGGTCCCACCCTTAGGACCTTGTCACCTCCCAAGGGCCTGCATCCCAGCACCAGCACACTGACCATTGCTTCGGCACAGGAATTAGGAGGTGGGGCCTGAAATGCAGCCCGTGGCAGTTGGGCACCCACGAATTAAGGCCATTTAGATAAATCGCGTGAATACACGGAGGAAAGAAGTTGTGGCAGAAAATGAGGCCCGAATAAAGCCCATGTCTGTGTTCCTTCTGAGAGGCTGAGGCAGGACAATTGCAAGTTTGGGTCCAGACTTTCTACATGGTATTGTCTTTCTCCAGCCTCTCCCTGGCCGTGAGGTCCCCGTTTCGTCACAATCCTCTCTGTACAGTGGAGAAGCTCAGGTCAAATTCCACGAGGCTCCCAGTGAGAGCTGGGCTCAAAGCCAAGTTCATTTCTGGTCCCCACCATGTTTAACTCCTCAGTCCAAAGGCCAGCTTCACATTTTGTGTGAGAATTTCGAAGGGGCAAGCAGCAGCCCTGGGGCGGGAGGAGATTGTTTTCTTCTTAGCTTTGATGAAACGATTGTGGAAATAGCCCGTTTGGACCTTTTTGGTGGTCCTGGGTTCAGAGTGAATCTCTGAAACCCTTCCAGACCCTCGGCAGGTCGCAGGAGAAGAACATGTGTCATTCACTTTGAAACTTCACCTTGAGTGAGGACCAAAGCCAGGCCCCGAGAGCCAGAGTTGCCGGCCGTGTCCTGGGTCAGCAGCACAGCCGTTACACTGGGAGGGCATGGTGCGCGCCTGGTGGCTGGGGTGTCCCGGGGACCAGAGTCTGCCGTCCCCACGGCTGGCCAAAGTCCCCCAGACCTGCAGCACTGTCGTGGGCTGGGCCGGATGGAGATCACAAGGCCCAGAAGTGGCTCAGACACGGCATTCCCTCTGGCTGGGGCCTAAGCAGCAAACGTGGTTTAGAGATGGAGAAATCAGTGGCCTGGAGTGGACACTCACAGGTGTGGGCTCAATCTGACCGTCTGCCCGCCTGCCTGGGTTCCCGCTTTCCAGAAGAGCCCGTTTCTATTTCACATGTGTTCCAGGGTGTAACCCTCGTCTCCCTCAGTGTCTCCTCCCTCCCCTCCCTTCCCACGTTCTCACACGCTTCCTTCTTTTGGTGATTTAACCCAGGGCTTTCTCACTGAGCTGCATCCCCTGCCCTTATTTTTTATTTTGAGACAGGATCTTGCTAAGTGGCCCAAGTTGAGCTTGAACTTGCAATCCTTCTGACTCAACCTCCCAGAGTGCTGGGACTGCAAAGTTTATGCCACTGCACCTAGTTTTTTTCACCTGGTAAAAACATAATTGCTGGGCGTGTTGACACAGGGCTGTCATCCCAGCACTCAGGAGGCTGAGGCAGGAGGATCGCCATGAGTATATATATATATATGGACAGGTATTGCATGATAGTCCAATAAATGTATATGATTAATTAGTGTCCAACATTTCTGTTTTTCAGATTCCAATCATGAAGGACCCTGGGTGGACTGGAAATATGTGGCCTGCAAACACTAATGTGAGTGCTGTTGCTTTTACAAAACATCCTTGCTATGCTCTGAGGTGTCACGAAGAGGGAGCGATGCTTCTTATGGACAGGTATTGCATGATAGTCCAATAAATGTATATGATTAATTAGTGTCCAACATTTCTGTTTTTCAGATTCCAATCATGAAGGACCCTGGGTGGACTGGAAATATGTGGCCTGCAAACACTAATGTGAGTGCTGTTGCTTTTACAAAACATCCTTGCTATGCTCTGAGGTGTCACGAAGAGGGAGCGATGCTTCTTGTTCCACTGTGGTTCCCTGCCGTGGGTGTATTTGTCTGTGAGGCACACGTGTGCCCTCCCTCCCTTCTTTCTTTTGTCTTTTTATTTACTTATTTTTTGAGACAGGGTCTTGTTATATAGCCCAGGCTGGCCTCAAACTCTCAGAGATTCTCCCACCTCGGCCTCCCGAGTGCTGAGGTCACAGGTGTGCGCCACCACGCTGGTCAAGCACTGTGCTTTTGGGAGGCTGCTGTCAGGGCCCACCTGAGCCCCTTCTGAGTGGCCCAGAAGCCTCTGTGCAGCAGAAAGCCCTCGCCTACCCCTCCCTTGGGCCGTGGGTCCCAGCCCTCCTGCCTGCCCACCCTCTCTAGGCTCGGGGGCTCGGCTGAGATCTGCTCTGGGTGTCTGTGGCTTGGGGGTGGCCCTCACCTTGTGGGGCATCCCCACCCTGGAGCTTGACTTTAACCATCCAGGGCATACATGGCTTCCTGAGGATTTTAAACCCAACACCATGGGGGAGGTCTCCAGGGTGGCGAGGTTGTTGAAATGGTGCAGGTCAGAGGGCTGTGTGTGGTGGTGCACACCTGCGATCCCAGCACTGGGGAGGCTGAGACAGGAGGATCTCCAGTTCAAAGCCAGTGCGGGTTACATAGTAAGATCCTGGAGGAGATTACAGGATAGAGCAGCATGTGGGACACGGGGTGGACTGAGGCCTTGGCAATGACCCGGGAAAGAGAGGGGAGCTGGAGGAGGACCCAGACACCCTGGGGCAGGAATGGAGGAGGAGGGGGCTGAAGAGGCGGGGACTGGGATCTGGGAGGAGCTTAAGTTGTTTCCCAGGAGTGGCAGGGATGGGGTCCAATGGGAGTCCTGGAATCCTGGGTGGGGGTGGGATGAGCGGTGGCAGTTGGATGGGGAGAAGGGCAGAGCTCCACGAGTGTCCTCTCATCTCAGTGGGCGCACAGCCTGCCGCTCACAGGTGGCTTCCTGTGCCACGTCTGTGCTCTCCAGACCCTGAGGCTGCCTGGGCCTCCTTCGCCACATACAGACCCGAGGCTCCAGCACAGGGAAGGTGGCAAGGAGAGGCAACAGGTGACCTGTGCCATTGACCCTCCCCGAGCTTTTGAGAAGAGGGAGTCTGCTGTGGGGTATCCAGAGAGCCCAGCAGTTGGCCAAACCTGCAGGTAAGAAGCGGTATGGTAGCTGGGGCATGGGGTGCATGCTTGTAGTCCCAGCACTCTGGGAGGCTGAAGCAGGAGGGTTGCAAATTTGGACAGCTTAGTGGCCCAGTTGTGTGAAACATACCACTGCAGAGGGACAGGGCAGCTGCTCAGTGCAGAGAAGCCAGCCAGGGTCACCTTCCTCATGGACTCCAGTGATGCTCCAGGGAGGGTGTGGCCAGGAGACACTGCTCTCAGTTTGAAGAATCTAGCTGGTACGATTGAAAAAATTACAGTAGCCGGGCATGGTGGCTCACCCTGTAATCCCAGCACTCGGGAGGCAGAGGCAGGAGGATCACTGCCAGCCTGAGCTACATAGTGAGTTCAGGGCCAGCCTGAACTGTAAAGTGAGACCCTGTCTCAAAACACAAAAAACAAAAACCAAACACCCCCCCCCAGTATTTAAATACACAACCATACCATACAGGACACACGGACAGGAATCCCCTCTCTCTGAGCACCCTCCTCCCATCGTCCTCACCACTTCCTGCCGCAGCTCTGGAGTCCTCTTTCCTGAGGGTCTTTAGCTGTGCTGTGCTGGCTGCCTCCATGTCCTGAATGGATTCAAGACGTCTCCCTGTCCTGGGCACTGTGACTTTGGGGAGGAGCCAGCAGCCACTCAGTGCCAGAGCTGGTGACGAAGGTGGATGAAGACTATTTTCACCGGCTGCTTTTCCTCTGCCCTTTGCCTTGGTCCAAGAGCAGCAGTTCCCAGAACTCCAGGTCATCGGGGCCCAGTTACTCAACACCATATTTTTGCTTGTTCCTTTTATTTTCTGTTGTCTTTAGGTTTCAGAAAGAAATGGACTTGAATTCTAGTTCTCTTGCACATTTTGCAGGGGGAGGAAGTGAAACATGGTCTGGATCTTAATAGTGTGCAAATAATTTTTTTTTCTTGGTACTTGGGATCGAACTCAGGTCCTGTGTTTGCAAGGCAGGCAGCAGAACCACTGAGCTAAATTCCTGGCCCTGGTGTGCAAATTTTTACCCACACAACTCATGTGCCTTCCTTGTGGGAAATCCACTGGGAAATGCTGGCCATAGGGAAAGCCACAGAGCGCCGCCCCGCCCACTTGATTAACATCTAATTTGCATATCACACTGAGGGCCACTCTCTAATGGCTTATTGACCCAACCCTCTCAATGCAAATAGTTTCCTTTTTCATACTCCACTTTTTATGCACATACTGGCTGTGTTTTAGTATGTTCTCATTTCAGAATCTTTCTTATATATGGTGGTTTTTTTCGGAAGGGATGTGGGAGCTCAGCCAGGGTGTTTTTCCCAGAAGTTATGTTTTATATTTTCCTTGTTAGAAAGTGAAATACACCCAGCACTTGGGCGGCTGAGGCAGGAAGATCACAAGTTCTAGCTCAGCCTAGACAATTTAGCAATTTAGGGAGACTCTGTATCAAAATAAACAGCAAAAAGACTGGTAATGTAGCCCAGTGCAGAGGCCCTGGGTTCAGCACCCAGTACCATTAAATTAAAAATGAATACAGCCTTGGGCTGGGGATTTAGCGCAGTGGTAATGGCACCTGCCTTGCAAGTGAAGGACCTGAGTTCAATGCTAAAAAAAAAAAAAAAAAAAAAAAAAAAAAGACTACAGCCTATCATGGTAGTGCACATGTAATCCAAGCACTCAGGAGGCTGAGGCAGGAGGATCACTGCTAGTTGAGGCCAGGCTGGACTACACAGCAAAACAAACAAACAAACAAGAACCCCCCCCCAACAAAAATAAAACAGATAGAAAAAGACCGATTCAGAGAAAAAGTTGTAATCCAGCTTGGCCAGTGATTTAATAAAATTGCCTTATATATTTTACATGTTTTTTGGTCTGTTAGTCTGGTGTTTTGTCTGTTTTTATGAATTTGACAAAAGCTTATAATATAAATAAATCTGGCGCTGGCAAAAAGAAAAAAAATTTTAAAAATGGGAGTGGAGGGGAAAGAAAAGAAAACAAGATGTATCCTGTACCATATCTCCACTGTGAAGGTCAGCATCGGGCTGCAATCAGGATGCATGATAAAAAATAGATAGCTAAGTAAACAGATCAGACTTTAGCCAGCCATGAGCAGGGGCAGTCTTTTCTTTTCTCTAAAGGCATGGCTGACCCAGGCTGGCCCTGTGGGCTCCCTTGAGAGGCAGGGACACTTGCCCGAGTGAGGTCACTCTGCGGGAGCCGACGGGTCAGGTTGGGTGCCTGGCCCTGGTATTTGGTCCTCCTGCTGTGTCCTTGCATTTGGTACGTGTCTGACGCTCTTTCTGTTTTCACTGGCACCCCTGCTCTCTGCAGAGGCCGGATTCGGCCCGACCTCTCTCCTGGAACCCTTTCCCTCCATTCCTGAAGAGCCGATCTCCTACAAGAGCTCCCTATGACTCTGTTCCTGGCTGTTTTCTTCTTTCTTGGCTTATTTTTCCCCCCAGTACTTGAGGTGGAGACAGGGCCTTTGCCCTGAGCTTCATCCCCAGCACTTTTGTTGAGTTAATTTTGAGACAGGTTCTTCTCAGTCTGTAGGTTGCCCAGCCTGGCCTGGAACTTGCGATCTTCCTGCCTCAGCCTTCTGAGTGCTAGGACACAGGTGTGAGCCACTTCAGCCAGCTCTGGGTGGCTTTTCTTGAACTTGGTCTTGAGGAACAATTAGCTTTTAATCCACTGGGCCGGCTGCTGAGTCCGAGCCACAGAGCATGTCCTGGAAAACAAAGAAAAGAGATAAAGAGAAGCGAAGTGGGTGCTGCTGGAGTGGGCGGAGTCTCTTCTCTTCTGCCTTCTCCTCGAGACCCTAATATGGGGATTTCTTCCCACTCATGTCTCCTCCACGCTCTTTTATTTTTGTTTTTATTTCTTCTGAAATCGTGGTTCCCTGGTTTTCACGCTTTCTCTTCAGCACAGTGAGCTTGACTCGGATGTCTCAGCCTGGTGTCTGCGCGTGTTTATTTAGCTCTGGTGGGACAGGGCCTAAGTGGCAGAGGTCACTCTGGGTGAGAAGCCCCGCCCAGCACAGCCTGGGGACGACGTGGTCCCCTGGGTCTCAGCCAGCTGTGCGACCTCAATTCCATAGGGACCTCTACCGCCGGAGCCGCCTGGACCCTGTCCCTCCTGCCTCAGCCTCCTGAGGGCTGGCTGGGGTTCACTGCCGCACCGGGCTGCACTGGAGATCTGAGAAAAGCGCAGCGCTTGGCCCCGCAGCCTCCCTGTGGAGTGACCGAGAGTGCTTGCCCGGAGCGCTGCAGATCTCCCGCCACCCCTGGAAGCCTCTGCCCGGGCATTGAACAGCAGCGGACTCAGCTTTGTAGGACTCGGCAGCGTCTGCGCACAGGCTGCGAACTAGAGACAGGAAAAGCCCTCTGCTCTAAGAAGGCGTCTACAGGGAGAGACGGAGGGCAGCCGGTTTCTAGGCTGAAAATCGAGACTGCGGTTCAGAGCAGCAGAAGGCGGGCTCTCTGGGCCTCACCCGAGGGGGCGTCCCGAGGGCACCCACAGAAGCTGCTGGGGAGGGGCCAACCCGCCCCGGCCCGGCGTCCCTAGGGGCTGAGCGGGAGGAGCCCGGATGTGCCTGACACTCAGGGAGAAGTCTGGGGACCCAGCGTCCGCTCTGACACCCCTGCGGCAGAACCATCTTAGGTCTTAACAGGACCTTAACAGCTTTCCATTTCACAACCCCTTAAACACTTAGATCTATAGGGTGGTGATGGTGCACGCCTGTCATCCCAGAACTCCAGAGGCTGAGGCAGGAGGATCGCCTTGAGTTCCAGGCCAGTCTGGGCTATACAGTGAGTTCAAGGCCAGGCTGAAGTACAAAGCGAGACCCTTACTCCAAACCAAACTAAACCAAACCAAACCAGACCAAAGCAAATCCCAGCGAGAAGGAATCAGGTCCCACCAAAGGACTCAGCCTGCTGCCCTCTCCTGTCCTCCCCGGTCGGCCGTGTTTCCCAGGCTCCATCGGTCTCGGGGCCATCTCCAAGCACCCTCGGCCTGTCCCCTCCTCTGGGGCCCAGATGCTGAGGTCACAACTGCTCTGGTGACCTCACAATTCTGCAGCCTGGTGAGTGCCCCCAAAGGGAGGGCCGGGCACAGCGGGGTGGAGGCCCGAGGCTGACAGAGTGAGGAGGCTGCGCCGGCGGGGGGCGCAGGCCATGCCAACCCTTACCACAGCCCCCCAGGGGCTGCCCGGCCTGCTGCAGCCCCAGGACCAGGCGACGACCCGAGTCCGGGTCGGTGGCTGCTGAATGGGGCCGCCCAGCGCACTCCCAGGGCGGACACGAAGACCTGACTAGTCCCGGCTGCTAAGGTACAGGATGCTGGGGGGCGGGTCCCGGGCTCTGCCCCCCACCCCCAGAAGACCGTTCTCTGCCAGGTTCTGGGAGACTGCGCCCCGGGAATCTGGATTCCTGTTACCCGAGTCACTCTGGACTTAGAGACAGTGCTTTCTTTCCTTTGTTCATTTGCTTTTGAGACAGGGCCTCCTTATGTAGCCCAGGCTGGCCTCAAGCTCATGGTGAGCTCGCTCCTGCCTCTGCCTTCCTAGTGCTGGGATCACAGGCGAGCACCACCACAGCTGGCCCCATCTTTTAAATGTAACCGGATCCTGGATGCCTTCTCCAGGGGCTCTTAAGGACGACCTATATCTCTATTTCCAAAACGTCCATTACACTGTAAGACCTAAAGTCTTATTTCTACTCCACGGAGCGTGAACAGCCAAAAGGTCTCCACGATGCTGGGCCCTAACACCCAGCGAGGCTTCGTGAATACGATAGAGAACCGAGAAACCCAGGAAGGAACACACCAGGCTAGATGGTAAAGAGACCTTTATTAGTCTGGCCAGATGGCACTCCCGGAGCCAGGTGGTTTAGAGAGGCAACTGCTCAGGGGCTGAGGTATTTTTTATAAGGTTTTTTTAAACAAAGAGTCAGGGAATTTATAGAATAAGATTGTAAACATATTGTTTATCTTATGTAGGAAATGTTCTAGGGTCACCTTTTGTCAAATCATTTGTCCCTGGGTGGGCTGTTAACCAAGGTAGCAATTAGTATATGAAGAAGCACAGTTTGGCCTATTAGTATGGAGTCACTTTAGCCTATTTAAGTCTTACAATCCCCACTGATCTTAGGTAGAATCAAATCCTTGATTCATTGTTTTAAATTTTTAGCTAAGGGGTCACAGCAATTTGTAAAGGCATCTCTTCGACAGCTACGTTGGGGATTAGGATTTTCAGAGTATAAAAAGTTTTTATATTTTTATCATTTGTAGGTTTATAAATTCTTAATTTAGAAGTATAATAATTTATAATAGTATGACATAATATAAGAGTTTATATTTAGATTGTAGTTTTCCTTCTTTAGCCGTGTGTAGATTTACCAGCTTCCGGTGTGGTGAGAGCAGGGTTTTGAGTGTGTTGTTTCTTGGTCTCCTATAGTCGGATTCTCTGGAATTTTGTTTTATTCTAGAGTGGTGTAGCTGAGTTTTAGCTATCTTGATAGTTGTGGGAGTAATTATAAGTGATTCATATGGCCCTTTCTATATAGGTCAGAAAGGGGTCCTTTTTTAAATTTTAACATCACAGGGAGGTCTTTGTTTTTTAATTTATCCTTGAATATTTTTTTAAAAATATTTGTACATTTTAACCTCTGTGATTTTATATTGGATAAGTCCAAGAGAAAGTCTCTATAACCTTTGTTATAAATGTTGGCCCATTGTCACTGCCTATGGAGAGAGGCAGACCAAATCTTGGAATTAAAAAAATATTATAGCTATTTTGTTAGATTTCCACATTGCCTCAAATAATTATATCTTGTTTAATTTTAATAAGTGTCCTCTGTTGTGAGAAGCCCATAGTTTTATAGATTGTGCCATAGTTATATCGAGTGGCAACCAGGAATCTGTATAAACATTTATCTTTTTTCTTTTTGTCCATCGGAGAGTCTGTATGAGTGCCCATAGCTCTGCTTATTGAGCTGACTATCTAGTGGGGAGGGGTCCTGCTTGGACCACTTTATCTTGAGTCATCTCTGCATAGCCAGCATAGTGTATTCTATTTTCTATGAAGTTGTTCCCATCCTTGAGCAGGAAGGAATCAACCTCAGGCAGGGGGTCTTTTTGTAGATCTAGATGATTAGAGAATAATTCGTCAGTGACCCTGAGGCAGTCGTGGTCAGGGGGCCAGTTTTCGAGGGCAAAAAGTAGCAGGGTTTAAGGTTTTAACTGGAGTAAAATATAAGGGGGGATTTTTATAGATGAGGGCCTGATATTATGTGACTTTATTATTTGAGAGCCATCAATGTCTTGTTATTTAATAGTTTTAAAAGGTATGGGAAAACTGAATAATTTATTTTTTTCTAATGTTATCTGGTTAGCTTTTTTAATTAGCCATTATTGCAGCTGCCAGGGCTTTATAAACAAAGGAATTATTTCTTTATAACTGGATCTAAATTCTAAAATAAATATATTATTGGGTAATTTTATGGGCCTATTCCTTCAAGGAGCACCCCTAAAGCAGTATGATTTCTTTTAGTCAGGTATAAACTAAAAGGCTGGGTCACATTTAGGATCCCTGATATAGGGGGGCAGCAGAAAGAGTTTTAGCTGTTTAAATGTTGACTCTTGTTCTTTATTTTATAATAATTATTGTCTTTTTGGGGCCTTTAAAGATTTATATATATAGAGAATCTAGATTTTGTAAAAACCTTTTTATCTCAAAAAAATTTTTATCTGTTTTAAGTTTTTTTATCTCTAAGCAGCATAAATTTTATATTTTGCCTCTTGAAGTAGTATTAATATTTTCTCAATATCGTATTTAGTATATCTAAAAATTAATAATAATCATAATTTTATGTATGAAACTTTATAATCTTTAATTTAATTAGGTATTAAAAGTATTTTTATAGAATTTTTTAATAACTTTTTCTATAGAAATTTTATTTTGAAAATTGAGTATTATAAATAACACAATAGCATATTTAGAATTTAATCCTTTGATGATAACCAATGTAAACATTTTATGATATATTTGGTCATGTTTATTGGAGGTATATTTTCTTAGAAGGCCTTAGTGAATAAAGACTAGAATAAATTTTTTTTGAGTAGCTGTCTTTTAATATTAATAGTTTATCTAGATCTAGTTTATATTTAATTATCTTGACAAAATTTTAACTTATAAAACCAGGTTATAGGAATTAATAAATTATTAGTATCTTTGTTGTCATTTTAATTTAGTATAATTGGACAAATATCTTTTAAATAATTGTATAGACACAAACTTGTAAGACAATTTGTGAAACTATAATATGTTTAAATGTATTTTGACCAATTGAATTATAAGGTAGGTGGCAGCACCACTGAGCTAAATAAATCTCCAGCCCTAGAACCTCTTTTAGTTAATATTAGTTAAAACTTTGGTAGATCAATTAACAGATCTCATAGAATTAGAATCAAAAGGAATGAAAGCTCTGTTATTATAAAAGTAAACCTTTTGTAATAAATTTGAAATCAATAAGCAAATATATATAATTTTGTTAAATCATTTTTATATATCTTTTTTATATATTTAAGTCTTTTGGTCTTGTATATCTTTTTTTATATCTTTTTAATAAGATAAGCATATAAAATCTTTTTATATTTGAAGTATATTTCTTTTATCCATAGCTTTTTTATTATGTTTTTTTGTCTCATTTATTATTAATCTTTTATAGTAAATTTTAGTTATTAAAATCTTAAAGTGTTTTTTATATCTTAAAATTTGATTGGCTATTTATAGAATAGTATTAACCTTGAGTTTTTATCAACAAAGTATAAAAGATCAAGTTAATTCTATAATCGAAATTTAAAAATTTGTAATGCACAAGAAATGTTTAAAGCACACTAATTAAACTTAATTTTAATTGAAACAAAGATATATATATCAAACAGTTAAAATTTTTTAATTTGATTTTTGTTGTAAAAATCTCTTGATATCTGCCAAAACACAATTGTAGTTTTTCTGGCTTGTAGTTTTTTTTTTTTTTTTTTTTTTTTTTTTTTTTTTTTTTTTTTTTTTTTTTTTTTTTTTTTTGTCTTTTATAATTTTTTTATCTGATTTTAATCCATTAGAGATTTTTTCATGTTAGTTGTTTTAATCTGAGTGTAAGCCCTGTTTTATCTTTTTTTCTGAGTCCCATCATGTTTTTCCATTTGCATCCTCCAGTGCAGTAAGGTTAAACAATTTTGTTTTATCTTTATCTCCTTTATACCTTTTATCTTAGCAACTCAAGTGGAGGGGAGACAGCTGGACCTCCTCCAAAGGGGAAACACTGGGATTTGTCTGTAACGATGTTACATTTTTTGAGAGACAAGTTTATCACAGGAAAATGGCAGATTTAGCAAGCAGGTGTTTTATAAATAAAACTAAATAGTTCTTATTAGCAGTTGATTATCACAGAGCAGAAGCTTGAGTAGCTCCTAGAGCACAAGAGGCTCCACATTATTAAAGTCTCAGGTAAGTAAAACAAAGGCAGATAATTTTTTTTTGTCTAGTTTCCCACCCCCACCTCTGGGGGCCAAGTCTGGCTTAGCTGAGACCATGATAATTCGCAAAGTTTTTAAGCATTTTTGGTTGCAGTTTTATCTTATAGTCCCCCACAAAATCTGTATCAAAATTTTAATTATGTACTTGAGAACAGTTGGTTTAGTATTAGCATTTCCCATAACTATTAGATATTCCCTTGTCCGGTGATGCAATGCAAGACAAAGGGTGGGGTGCCGGGGTTCTGTTTCAGAAAACGGCCTTGTTTATTTGCCTGGAGGGCTCTTTAAGCATAAGCCCTCCTCCCTTTCTTTTGATGTACAGAGGAGGTCACCCAGCTCTTCCCATTCACTCTCCTAACCAATTCTCTTTCACACACACAGTCACCTAAGAAGTTAATACATTCCCTCCCTGGGTCCCCTTCCAAAGACAAACTAGGGAGCAACCCAGGGGATCTCACCATTCAGACAGAGGATTTTATTTATTTTCCTTCTTTTTGTTTCACTATTGACGAGCCGGCCTCTGCGTCCTAGAAAGGGAACCCAGGAAATCCTGGGGGCGCGCACCTTTTCCCTTCCAAGGAGGCAGACAGTCGCTTGCTCAGGTGGGACTCGGATTGACACAGGGAGCGAAGCTTTCCATGAGAGAATTTAACCCGTAATCATCCTTTTGTTCAGGGAAAAAAAATAATTTTAAAATTAGAAAGCAATCCAGTGGGGTGGTGTTCTTGGAGCTGGATGTTCCCATCTTGTCCCTAGGAATAAATTTAGTTTAACACTCAACAGATGAGACAC